ATCGGTGAATGCGGTCAACAACGCAAGGGCATACCTGAAGATAATTCCGATAGAAATCTTCGGGTCAAAAGGATCAAAGAAGATATTGGCCCTCATGGATGAAGGGTCAACAGTGTCGCTGCTAGACCAGAAGGTAGCAGAAGAAATCGGCGCTCAAGGAAGAAAGGAGGAACTGGTCATCGAGACTGTTGGAGGCAGGCTGATAAGGAAGGAAGACTCTCAGATGCTTGACCTTACGGTGAAGGGGATTCATCAGAAGACCAAGAAGACCTTGAGAAGAGTCCGGACCATCGAAGAGTTGAAGCTTGCACCGCAGTTCCTAGAAAAGAAAAGGATAGAAGAGTGTCAACACTTGAAGAAGATTGCTGACTCTCTATATTATAAGGGGGAGTCACCACAGCTGCTCATCGGTCAAGACAACTGGGAGCTAATCGTGACTCAAGAAGTAAGAAGAGGGAAACCAGGACAACCAGTCGCTTCAAGAACAGGACTTGGATGGGTGCTCCACGGGTCAGACACTGGAGGCGCGAAAGTGGTGCACTTCTTAAACACGTGTCTACATGTCAGCACGCCAGAAGAAGAGATGCATCAAGCCATCAAGGATCACTTCGCAATCGAAGCACTTGGAGTACTACCAAGAAGACCCACTACGGATTCAGAAGAAAGAGCACTCACCATCCTAGAGAAGACCTGCAGAAGACTAGAAGATGGTCGATTTGAAGCTGGACTTCTATGGAGAAATGAAGATGAACAGATGCCTGAAAGCTACACGTCTGCCAAGAACCGATTGTTCAACATTGAAAAGAAGATAGACAAAGACCCTCAGCTGAAGGCAGAATACAATAAGCAGATCCAGCATCTAATCGACAGCAAGTATGCAGAAGAAGCACCTGGTGGACAAGAAGATTCAAAGAAGACATGGTACCTCCCTCATTTCTCCGCGGTACATCCATTGAAGAAGAAAATAAGGATCGTCTTCGACGCTGCAGCCAAGTCTAAAGGGAGAAGCCTCAACGACGCTTTACTACCGGGACCAGACCTACTGCAATCGCTCTTCGGGGTATTACTGAGGTTCCGGCAAGGCCCGTTTGCAGTGGCAGCCGACATAAAGGAAATGTTCCTGCAAGTTCGCATCCGGCCAGAAGATAGAAACAGCTTGAAGTTCCTGTGGCGAGGGGATCGTCGTGACGTAGCACCGAAGGAGTACAGAATGACATCAGTCATCTTCGGCGCGACATCATCTCCTAGCACAGCGATCTACGTGAAGAACCGGAACGCGGCGGACTACAAGAAGCAGTACCCAGAGGCAGCAAAGGCAATCGAGCTGAACCATTACATGGATGACTACCTGCACAGCTTCCATTCAGAAGAGGACTTCAAGAGAATTACAGCGCAGGTGGACTTCATTCACAAAAAGGCGGGCTTCGAACTCCGAGGATGGGCGTCAAACCACTCCGACCTGCTGCAAGACGTGAAGACTGAGTCAGTTGAGAAGACAGAGGTGGACCTTGGTGAGAAGGAAGAGAAGACACTGGGACTACGCTGGTTTACAGAAAGGGACTCCATAGGCTTTAGGGCGAACCTTCGGAACACGCCAGATGAAGTGGCACAAGGACTCAAGGTACCTACGAAGAGAGAAGTCACCAGCGCCGTGATGTCGACCTTCGATCCACTAGGGCTAGCATCACCAATTCTCATCCAAGGCAAAAGGCTGCTCCAGAACATATGGCGAAGTGGCGTCGGTTGGGATGAAGAGATAGAAGAAAAGGAGTACGAGTCATGGAAGACTTACCTGGAGAAGATGAAGCTGCTCCAAGACCTTCAGATCCCGAGATGTCTGGCACCACGTCGCACCGAGGGGGAGCTGCACACGTTCACGGATGCAAGCGAAATGGCGTATGCAGCTACGGTATATTGGAGAACTGAAAATCAAAATGGGACTTATGACGTCAGCTTAGTAGCAGCAAAAGTAAGAGTCGCTCCGTTGAAGCCGGTGTCAATCCCGAGACTCGAGCTGCAAGCGGCCCTCCTAGGAAGCAGATTGGCACACTCGGTCGAGGAAGAAATGGATCTGAAAATAGAAAAGAAGACGTTTTGGACAGACTCCAGTATCGTGCTATCATGGATCAAGACGGACCCGAGAACCTTCAAGACATTCGTGGCTCATCGCTTGGCGGAGATAGAAGATCTCACAAAACCACAGGACTGGAGATGGGTACCGACGGCGCAGAACCCTGCAGATGATGCAACACGTGACGTACCAGAACACTTCGACTGCCAACACCGATGGTACACCGGACCAGGGTTTCTAAGAAGAGATGAAGTTCACTGGCCTGCGGCAAGAACATTCAAGAAAGAAACCACTGGCGAAGAAAAGGCAGCGGACATCGTAGCGACTGCAGGCAGCTCCTATCCATCACCAGATCCCGAAAAGTTCTCGTCGTGGAAAAGACTTTGGCGAGCTACAGCAAGAGTACTGCAGTTCATACAACTCTGCAGAAGAAAGGAAAAGGTCCACGCCAGCAAAGAAGATCCTACCTGGAAAACTACAAAAAGGAATAAGAAAATTGTTGAGAAGCGACATCTGTCTTCAAAAACGTCAGAAAGGAAATACATACCATTGGAAACAAGTCTACTAGAGCAAGCTGAAACGCTGTTGTTAAGAAGAAGTCAAGAGAAATGCTTCAAAGAGGACATCAGGTGCCTACAGCAAGGAAAACAATTAGAGGGCAGCAGCAAGTTGAAAAGGCTCGACGTAGTGTTAGAAGAAGGTCTCCTGCGACTGAAAGGAAGAATCGACGCGATACGAGGGGTTACCAGAGACTACAAACGAACCATCGTACTCGACAGCAAGGACAAGACAACACTTCTCATCATAGAAGAATTTCACTGCCGCTTCAATCACGGGAATCACGCGACCGTAATGAACGAAGTAAGACAACGCTTCTGGGTGCTAGGACTGAGGTCAGCGATCAAGACCATTCAACATCAATGCAAGACCTCAAGAACTACCAGTGGGCAACTTACCTGCTGAGAGGCTGATGCACGGAAACCCTCCATTTACGTGCACGGGAATAGATTACTTCGGCCCTATGACGATCACCGTAGCAAGACGCCATGAGAAGAGATGGGGTGCTCTATTCACATGCTTAACAACACGAGCTGTACACATTGAGCTCACTCCTTCACTCTCCACTGACAGCATGATCATGGCACTACGACGATTCGCCGCGAGAAGGGGAATGCCAAAGATAATCTACACCGACAATGGCACTAACTTCGTTGGCGCCAACAAAGAACTCAAAGAAGCACTAGACACCATGAAGCAAGAAGACCTTATCTCGGAAGCGGAGAAGATCGGTGTGCAGTGGAAGTTCATACCTCCTGGTGCACCAAACATGGGAGGTGCATGGGAGCGTCTGGTGCGATCCATTAAAACCGCACTGGACGCCACGCTCAACGAAAGGCAACCACGAGAGGAGGTACTTCATACCCTCCTGTTAGAGGCCGAGCACATAGTCAACTCTCGGCCCCTCACCCACCTCTCCGAGAACCCTGAAGAAGAAGCACTTACACCGAACCACTTTCTCATCGGGCGATCATGTGGCGCAGCAAGAATCGGCAGCTTCGAGGACAACGAGCTTGTGGGCAGACACACCTGGAAGGCTACGCAGCGACTTGCCGATCACTTCTGGCAACGTTGGCTGAGAGAGTATTTGCCCACTCTACTACCAAGGAAGACCAAAGGAAGAGTCAGCGCCACAGATTTGCAAGTCGGAGACATCGTACTGATCGTCGATCACAGCCTACCAAGATGCATCTGGCCACGCGGAAGAATCCTGCATGTGTATCCTGGACCAGACGGGCGGACCAGAGTCGTCGACGTCGAGACCAGAGGAGGTGTTCTACGGAGGCCCAGTTCGAGAGTGGTGCTGTTGGTGCCGGGAGCGTCGCCGAGTCCAGGAGTTGGTGCAAAGCACGAGGGGGAGAATGTCGGCGACGGAAAACTTATCTTCGAGTAACGTGTGTATTAATATAGGGACAATGTCATTTTAGCGTATTATGAATAATTGTTGTAAATATGAAATCTCATTCTTATTAGATTTATTATGTTAAAATAAGTTCTAATTAGTGTAATAAGGTTAGTTTAGAGTATTTTTTGCTTATTTGAATCATATAAGACTATTTAACATTAATTTGAAAGGAATAGGTACGTAAGTAAAATGTTAGCATATAATTACGTAACTTGAAAATGAGATTTTTTGTTTCTTGCAATAGCATAATAGTTTATGTTTTAAATAATAGATTTTATTATAAAACTTATAATAAAACAAGAATTAGGTCGATAGGACTATCCGTTCAAAAGTTATAAGGGAAAATGTATAGTAAAAATGTAGCAACCTAGAAATTTAGATATTTTTGTTTTAAGACTTTTTTAATTAATTATTATATATTGAATATTATGTTTTAATATTGTATAATAGTATGTAAGGCATGTAAATAAATAAATATGTGTAAGGTGTTTTACTGAAAACATAAAATAAAAGGACTCTCAAGGTTTCGGTTTAGGGAAATTTTATTCGAAAAATGAGCTCAAAGTACGCGGCTCTCTGTAAGGTATTAACGGGCCAAATAAAAGGCGAGCCATTTCTCGATTCGAGTCAGTCGCAAGACAGCCACCGAAGAGGCAACAACTAAAAGGAAAAGGAAGAACCGAAACCAAGAGAGAAAAAAGGAAAAAATTGTGTTTTTATTTCATCGCCTCTAAGTATAGTCTCCTGTCAACGAAGAAACCCTAGTGGATCGGGACCCAAGCTACGCATTCAGGGGTGCGTGGTGGCGTACATTACCAGCGAACGGACATACTGCCGTGTACGCCAAGAACGTCTGGGAGATTGTCCCAGGTCGACCTCCGGGTACTAGACATACCCTGGTTCTGGTCGTCCGAAACAAATATATAAAGTAAAAGCAATTTTATCTTAACTAAATATTCTTTTCAGCATTCCAGAAGAACGGAACTAGTAGAATAGTATCAATCCTCGGTCTATTTGAGCTGTCAGTGGGAGACCATCCGCGGGCAGATGGCATGTCAGAGCTAGCCGCGGCCAAGCTGGCGGTACATCATGTAAACCAAAGGACCCTCTTGCCAGGATACAAACTACATCTTATCGCCAATGACACAAAGGTTTGATATTATATTTTTTGGCAACTCTAAAAAGATATTCGTTTTAAGTTCTATTTTGTATGCTACGAGATACTTTCGCCAATTATCAATCAAATTCAGGATTACTTTTTAGTTTTATACTTCAAGGTGTCAATTTTTTTTTAAGAAAATAATTTTAAACGTATACCATTTTATTGAAAAGTATCAAGCCAATCACTAGCATCATGCACTTTTAATTTTTTTTGTACACTAATCGGATATGATGTAACATAATGTAGTAATAGTAACATATGTATTGTTTTCTGATTAAAGACTTATAGCGATATATAAACTATTTTTTCTAGAGTAACAAGCAGTGTTTCTACTGTTAAATATTTAAATCATGTAATAGTTTTTGTTATATATACATAAACTATATTTGTAGTGTAAACATATATTCTTAGTATACCAAATTTCTTCCTATAAACTAATATTATAAAGATTTGTATTTTTGTATGTTTGTAACGAATAAACTCAAAAACGACTAGACCGATTTAGATGAAATTTAGTATGAAGATAGTTTGAGATCCTGGAAAGGACATAGGATATTTTTGATTCCGGAATTCATCCCTTAAAGGGATGAAAATCGAGATGAAAGTTTATATGGGGAATCAACCTAGGGTCGAACCCAAGCGAAGCGAGGGTGAATCAATAGTAGATAATAGTTAAGACTATAAAAACACTGCTTAGTACTCTATTATATTATTATATATATATATACATATATATATATATATATATATATATATATATATATATATATATATATATATTATATATTCCCTATTTCGTACTCACAGTGTGACCCAGGAGTGGGCGTGGACAGATTCTTTCACGCGCTGTACACAGAGAGGGAATCACGACTAGTGATGCTCCTCGGCACTGCCTGTTCCGAAGTCACCGAAAGCATTGCTAAGATCGTACCTTATTGGAACATTGTTCAGGTAAATTGAAAAAAATAATAATAATAATATTTTACTGTAGAATTTTCATACTCTATACGTCTCAATATGAAGTTTTAGTTATAACGTATTTTCCCTCATTCGGTTATTAAAAACCATTCCATTTTTATATTCCCACAGCAAAAATACGGTTCTTATGAAAAGGCTCTATTTCCACATCTCGCTAGAGTAGAGGTCACTAAAAATTTCGCGCTATACAAAAGAAAGCTAAGTACCGGCAGTTTCTTAAGGGGGTTTCACATTTGTACCGCATTTTTGAAAGGTTATACGTTTCTGGTTTTAGAAATAAAGCGTGCAAATTCTTCAATAAATTTTTTAACCTCACAAAAAATAACATTACACAAAACACACGCTATCAAAAATTCAGAAATTGAAATTCAATTTTGACTTTGACCTTTGCTTTACATGAAAACAACTTGATGAGAACTCAGATTATATCTTAGGATCCTTTCAACCACTTAAAATGCAAATTGAGACTTAAAAGCTCGTTCTAAAAGCTCTTGATACCATTATAATTTATTAATCATCAAATAAAACTATTATATCTAAATATTTAAGTAATTCTAATCTTGTTATAATTTTAATATATTATAGCTAAGTAAAGTTTTATTCTAATTAGTAATGTAACCATACATTGTTGCTCTAATATCTTCCTTACACCGAGGTCGTATTTCACATAGTTTCCCGGAGAAAGCTTTAAGCGAGCTTCAAAGGTTGTACTTTATATTAAGAGTACTAGCGGGTCACCCTCGCTTCGCTCGGGCTCACCTCTAGAAAAACAAAAAAAATCTATCCCACAAGAACCGTACATTTTCCGGGATAAAATCTATCTCTGTGCCAAATTTCATCCAGATCCGTTCAGCCGTTCTGGCGTGATTGAGTAACAAACATCCATACATCTAAACATCCATCTAAACTTTCACATTTATATTATAAGTAAGATAAACAGTTATCATATCTCTGTAGTGCACAAGAAAGTTTGACCCAAAATAGTTTTAGACTCATTGCATTAACATCATATTGCTGTAATTGAAACAAATATTTGTTTATTCTACTTTCAAACATTAAAATACATCCATTAAAAGTTGAAAAGTGACATACCTAATTTGCTTAATACCTAATTATCTTGGTACATCCTTGCCTGGGAATAATCTGCTACAAAAATATAACATTTGTAGAATCTTAGGTTCACTACTATGAAATAAAGAAACCACATCGTAATTTGTCCATCCGTTTAAGATCTACGAGTCACAGACATAATTCGATATAGGAATCGAATTTATTATTATAAGTTATGTAAAAGAGGCGTATTAGCCTCTTTTACTTCGAAGATTAATAAAGTAATGTTTAAATACATCACTAATTTGACGGAATAAAAATCTAAAGACTTTCAAACCCCATGTATTCACATGGGCTTAATAAATAAAATAAAAAAAAATACTCGTAGTTTAAATAGAAAGCCGTCGGATAGAAACAAACCCACGATTTCTATTGATAGAGGCATATTCAAGCATAGCATCACTGCACTAGTTGGACTTTTATCTGAAAAATCTATAATTTTTTTTAATCTATACAGCATCAGTTTCTTACATTCAAGTTGAGATTAATGCTACTAAGAAACTTGTGTTTAATTAAGAAACTTCTATTATGTTAAAATTTAAATTACTTTGAAATTTGATCACTTATTTTCAAGTTTCATACATCAATAGTCAACGAGTATAATGAAAATATATAATACATATATATATGATTAATTATATACATTTACCTGTATGATGAACACCTTTCCATATAGTATTATAGGTACTTTAAATCACCGCTTTCAAATTAGAGTTCTCCAAATTCCACCAATCCAGTGATTATACATATGTACGAATAAGTGATGCTACCATTTTGGTGGTAGTATTTCCTACAGCCATTTGCAATTCCTCCACAGCGGTACAATTGACGATGCCCTCTCGATCGATTTTAGCTACGACAGCCTATCTCATTGAATTCCCAACAGAACTCCGGGCAGGGACTTTCTTAACAGAAAAATCAATCACTAAATCTGGCCCGACCAGGGACTTGAACCCAAAACCTGTAAATGTGCAGCTATACATGCACACTATACATACACTACAGGTAAAACGTACTATTTTAAAGAAGACGTTTGGTAGAATCGGGGAGAAACGCATATGAGGCGCTCCCGACTTTCATAAGTATTTCTATAAGGTGGTCGGGAAACGGCTTCAGGTGACAGTTTGACGTTAACTGTGTCTTGTCCCAGGACTACGACTTACGACTTTACCTACGAACCCGTTTCACCACGAAAATTTATATTTTTTATAACTTTTGCAATATGCGGCATTTCCGTTAAATCAAAGACGATCCCCAACTGTGTGAAAAGTGATTATAATATGATACTATACATATTTTATCAAAAAATAGATTTCGTTCGGTCGAGATCTGACCATAATCATTATTGAAAATGTAATGAAAACATATGAATAGAATTATTTGCCTATGTATGTACAAAAACTATTTCAATTTTTTTTACATATATATATATATATATATATATATATATATATATATTTACATATATATATATATATATATATATATATATGTATGTATGTATGTACATTATAATTGATGTGAAACCTAAGCTGTTCAATTGATTAGTTGATGTGTCTGATACTAGTGATTTTGAAGTAAAAGGAAATATAAGAGGCAAAACCAAGGACATATGCTAGTATTGAAAGAAATCAAACAGCTATGTAATCACATCTTGTGCTAGAATTCTTTGTTCTCTTCAAAGAAAATCAAACGCTTTATTCTTTCTGCATAAAAGTTATTCTTTGACATTCGTTAAAACTTACTATGAAGTTACTACGCTTTGTGTCTCGAAAGAATGAAAGTTTATTTTAATCATCCTGAAGACAAGTGGATTGACAAAATCCTACTAATATTATAAACGCGAAAGTTTGTAAGAATGTATGTATGGATGTATGTTTGTTACTCTTTCACGCCAGAACGGCTAAACGAATCTGGATGAAATTTGGCACAGAGATAGATTATAGTCTGGAATAACACATAGGCTATAGCTTTTTATCCCGGAAAATATACGATTCCCGAGGGATAGATTTGCTATTTTTCCTAGAGGCGAACCCGAGCGAAGCGAGGGTGAGCCGCTCTTGTTAGGTATAATCCAGTGACGGTCAAACTTTCACACTTGCCTACCCATTAAAAAAATTATCTATAAATAAAATAAAAATATAGATTACATGTATATTGTTATTGTATTAAGACAAAATAATTGTAGTAAGATTGAAGCTAATAATTTTAGGGTTCCGTGACAAATCCAAAAAAATAAAAAAACGGAATTATGTAACATAAGTCCGTAAAAAAATTGAGTGAGCAAATACGTGTAGTTGGAAAATATTCGTATTTTTTTATTCAATCCAATAGTTTATCTTCAGTAGTTGATATAAATTATCTATTACTAAGTCCATGAAGAATTTGAAAAATCTTTCACTTTACCTGTATATTGTATAAAGAATTTTTGTGCCAAATCTATATTAATATTATAAAAACGCAGAATTTGTTTGTTAGTTTGAACGCCCTAATCTCAGGAACCACTATTTTTGCATTAGGTAGCTCGTTTATTGAGGAAGGTTATAGGCTATATATCATCATGCTACTACCCTAGAGAGCGGAGCAGTCATCATAAATGTCAACAAATCGGGCAGACTTCCATACATTATTGTAAAACTATACCTATTTATTATATAAATACTTAAAGCCAAAGATTGTTTTTGTAAATTGAACACGGCCAAATCCACGGGTTCTGCTAGTTCTTAATAATTAGGATGATATAATATTAATTCTTAAATATATAGGATTATTATTAACTAAGTAATTTACCATGTAACTTACTTTACTTTCACTGCCCTTACAAACTGAAGGAACGGACAAGAAGGAACGTGACTGGGCAAGTCATTTGTGCTAATTTTCGGACAGTTCGCAATTTCGGTATTACTTTTACCATAGAAACATACACATTGTATACCAATTATCGACTCTGTGTAATTCTACTTATACTGTCCGAAAATATATTTTTATTAATTACTAGCATTGCCCGCGGCTCCGCCCGCGTTCAGAAGACCAAAAACCAAATTCTTAGGTTTTACATATTAGTATACTCTTACATTGCAGTTCTTGTAATTTTTTTTCAGAAATGAGATATTTTCCCGTGGTAAAAAGTATCCTATATGTCGACCCGGATACCCACCTATCACCATACCAAATTTCATCAAAATCCCTCCAGTGGTTTTTTTGTGATGCGGTAACAGACAGACAGATAGACAAAAATTCTAAAAACTATAGATTCGACCTCTGTATCGATAATAATGTTTATTTAAATAAGATTTTCCAAAAAATATTTAATGTACAGATTCGGCTTAGTTACAATTTTATTATATGTATTATTTAGGTAAAAATTGTAATTCACAGATAAAATAGTACCAAATATAATAAAACAGGTTAGCGTATTTTGTACATTGTGTTTTGATGATAGCTGCTTCAACAATGCAGCTTGTGAACAAGACAGTTGGTATGCATCTATACAGTTGAAGAGTTCACAATAATATCAGATTTTTTTATTTTAAACGGAAACATTTTCGAAAATCCTTTAACATATGTATGTATTTACGTAATTTTTTTATGGAATATGCTCTGATATTAAAAGAATTTTATATATAACTAGCGGACCCGACAGACGTTGTCCTGTCTACACGTCTTTAATTTGAAAATTTCAAACTTTTTTTTTTTGATGAAAATTATTATTCAAATTGTGAATCTAAACCATTCCCAGATCCCCTTGAACACACAGAAAAAATTTCATCAAAATCGGTCCAGTCGTTTGAGAGAAGTTCAGTGACATACACACTCACAGAAGAATTATATATATAAAGATTTGATAATAAAAAATCGCAAATTTCAAACAGCTACAGTTCAATGTAGAAAAAATAAGGTCATCTCAAACAGTCTATACAAAACTAATCAGTTTCAGATTATCATAGAAACCTTTGCCTGTTCCACGGCTTCCTCTTTCCTTTTTGGTTTTCCCTTTTTAGTGAAATTTCATAATGTACAAATTTATTTTTCTATTAGTATAATAAATATAAGTTATTACCTAGTATTCAGCCCTTTTTAACGTCGTATTGTTGGGCACAAGCTTCCCTTCAATGCGAGGGTGCTCCCTTCAAGCCGCAGTCCACCACACTGGCTAAGTGCGGGTTGGTAGACTTCACGTGACCTTCGAAAAATTACTAAGTCCTCTAGACATGCAGGTTTCCTCACAATGTTTTCCTTCACTGTAAGACAAGTGATAATCATGTTGGAAATGATTCGCACATCCGGGATTTGAACCCGCTTCACTCGGTTTTCCAAGCACGTTATCACTGGGCTACACTTACATAGTAATTTAGTGAAACAAATTCTTAGCGGATATAAATGTATGCATCTAAAATATTCTCAATTTAAATTTTATTACGTAGTTAACGAAAAAATATCGCGAGTCAACTAATGAGGTATTTCATACACACCTTCAGCTTCAAAGCGAGGTAAGCGTTAAATCCTTATAAGACTTCCAACATCGGATTTATAATTCATGATTATATTTAAAAATATTAGGAATTTTAATGGAATAACAATAAAACTTGATTTAATACAAAAAAATTGAGATATACTCGTAAAATATCAAATAGGAATTAAAAAATTGCTTTTTAAGGTATCTAGGGGTGGAAATTCGACCAAAATCATATATGAATAGAAATTACCTATCAAAATAAAAAAAAACTGTTTCCAATTTTTCTATTGATAACAATAAGACCCGTCCATAGCTACTAAACAAATAAAAGAAAATCAGTTGACAAACAGGGGAGAAAAAGGTACTAAACTATACATTTTTTGCCTATTTATACATATGAGGCCTTCAGGTCCAAAGTGAGTAGGTAGGACCCACTGACTACTTTGGAGATAATGGCTGTTAAATATTTTCATATAATATTTTTAACCCGCGACGCAAAAACGACGGGGTGTTATAAGTGTAACGTGTCTGTGTGTGTGTGTGTGTGTCTCTGTGTGTGGCATCGTAACTCGAACGGATGAACCGATTTTGATTCTGTTTTTTTTTTGTTTGAACGGTGAATTAGTCGGGAGTGTTCTTAGCTATGTTTATTGAAAATCGGTCCAAGATGGCCACCGCCACAAAAAATTAAGGTACAACAAAATGTGTGTATACAAATGATCCACAAACTCCAATCAGTCAAAGGACTCGATGCAAATTACATTGTCGTTTTGAAACACTTGAAATATCGACGTGTTCGGGAAATTTGGGAATGTGAGGAATGAAATACAATTGAATCACGTTGCAAGAGTTCTGAACAGTATCGTACGAAATTGCTACTATTATGTCTACAAACTTCATTTGATTGTTTGTGCGACAACTGTGGTTTGAAGGACGATTATGACATATTTTGAAGATTATGGCAAAAGTTATGTTTATAAACGCTTATGTCCCCATATTTTACACTAATCCATATAATTAATGTGTATAAGACTGCACAGTATAAGTCATACAATAATTATTTAATAATAAGATAAGAAATGCCACAGTTTTCAAAAAATGTTCAATGTTACATTTCAACCTATAATGCTTTTTATTATTTGTTTTCTAATTACAAATTCAATACATACTTGTTTAATGGAAACTAGGTCATTAATTGTATTATTTATATCATTATTAAGCTTTATATTTCTCTTAGGTATCCTTCGGCTCCACTTCTCCGGCTCTGAGCGACAGATCTGAATTTCCACTTTTCTGCAGAACAGTGGCTCCTGACTCCTCACATAATCCAGCACGAATCGCTTTCATCAGGTATTTAAAAATCAAATGTTTAATATAATTATCCATACTAATATTATAAATGTGAAAGTGTATAATATGTTTGTTTGTCCTTCTTTCAAGTCGAAACAGAACGACGGATTGGCGTGATTTTTTGTGTGGAGATAGTTGGAGGGCTGGAGAGTGACATAGGCTATTTTTTATTGCGGAAAATTATCTAATTCCCACGAGAAACCCTGTTAAAATACAACCAAAAAAATATTTATTGTCAGAATTACTTGAAACTTGGTATTAATGCTCTTTAATACAATTAAATAAATACGTATTTTAGCAAAAAAAATTTAATTCATCCCTTAAGGGATGAAATAGGGGATGGAAATTTGTTTGAAAACTACCTTTTTAGAGTTTTTTGTAGTTTTAGCGAGCGAAGCCGCAGGTTCTGCTAGTATATTATAATCCTTAGCTCTGTTTCTACATGAAAGAAGCACAAACAAATACTCTATACCACTTATAATATTTATTTTTTATTAAAGTCTATAATATTTATGTATACGAATACGAATCGACCACAAATCATCACCCAAACCCATATAAATATGTGTATGGCCCACGGACCGTCAACTGAACGTGCGGTTACAGCAGTCAACGCGAAATTCCATTTAACATTTAAGTAATATACCTAGATACATTAATAAACACATACTGAAGTAAAATAAACCTATAAATAATTTACCTATTCTTTTTTTTAATTCTTTCAATGATTATAATATTTTATGTTATTTTTTTATAACTGTTTAAAGATCTATAGTAAATAAACATCTAAATGACCAGAATCCGACAGTGATGGACTCTACAAAATTTATATAAGCCAAGTTAACATGTTTTTATATCTAAAATAAAAGTAACCATCTTCATAAATGTAAATATATATATATACATATATATATATATATATATATCATGTATGTATGTATTTATCCCTTTTTTTAACTTCACTGCTGAGCACGGGCCTCACTTCAATACGAGCGAGACCAGGCCATAGGCCATTAATATGATTAAACATTTATATGTATATAGTAGACTGCGGTGGTGAAAACATATCAATAATATATTGTTTGACCGGCATCGTTATACTAGGGATGTCCAACAATGCATGTCACCAGAGATTAAAGTTTTCCACTTTTCAAAAATAGTTCTACATTTTATATATTGCGTATGTCACAAAATTTTATCGTTAATGGATTTAAAAAAATATTAGAAACTAGCATTGCCCACAGCTCCGCCCGCGTTCAGATGACCAAAAACCAAATTCTTAGGTTTTACATGTTAGTATACATTACATTACATTTACATTGCAATATTTGTATTTTTTTCTCAGAAATGAGATATTTTCCTGCAGTAAAAAGTATCCTATATGTTGACCCGGGTAATCAGCTATCATCGTACCAAATTTTATCAAAATCCCTCCAGTGGTTTTTCTGTGATGCGGTAACAGACAGACAACAGACAAAAATTCTAAAAAGTATAGATGCGGCCTCTGTATCGTTAATAATGTTTATTTCAAAAATATTTTCCAAAAAATATTTTATGTACAGATTCGGCTCAGCTGCAATTTTATTTTATGTATAGACCAGCGACTCACCCTCGCTTGGGTTCGTCTCTATGTACGATTTAACGGTTAGTATGAAATAGAAAAACTCTGTGAAAAACAAAAGCAAATCTATCCCGTCGGAAACGTACATTTTACTGGGATAAAAAATAACTTATGTGCTATTACAGACTATAATCTATATTTGTATCAAATTTCATCCAGACCCGTTAAGTCGTTCTGGCGTGAAAGAGTAACAAACATCCATACATACTCACAAACTTTCACATTTATAATATTAGCATGGATATGGATGGGATTAAAAAAAAGTTTTTTAGACCTTCAGTTAATAAATTTAAACCGTATTAATAAGAAGAATTTAACGACGATATCATCGATATCAGCTTAACCGTTTAGTAATTAAGAAGGTCAAACACATAACCCTTCTTTAAGCTTTGCCGCAGTTGGATAAAAAAATTTTTTAATATACGACATACGGGTGGACAGAAGAACATTTGCTTATTAATAGTATCCCCGAGCTATCGAACATTTCGATACGAAACCCTAACACGTAACTAAATTACGCCTGATTTCAATTGAGTAGGTACATCAAAAGCAACCACCTTTCAAAGCTCTTCAAACTACGTAGCTTTTGTCGCTTGTGAAGTAAACGAAAATATATATACAGGAAACTGTATAAAAAGCTAGTAAAATATAAGTACATTTCTATCCTTACTTATATTTAATACGAGCTAGTGTACTTCGCTCGGATGCGTCCCTAAGCTTGAATGATTTAGAAAAGTATTAAAGACAAACATCCAAAGAAAAAATCTTTTTTTGAGCCAGATACATTTGCAGACGTGTACAGAGTGTAATAAACCACTAGAGTTTCATTATAATCGAATCAATGATTCAGGAACACATAGAGGACAAACATACGAACATTCATTTTATTTATATAGATATTGGTTGCTTGGTTAGTCACACAGATCTAAGATAGATTTTAATTTTTTTGAGCGGAACCCTAATTCTTTTTCTAAAATAAAAGTAGCCTAAGTTACTACTTGTAATATCAGCTATCTGCTAGTTAAAGTTCCTTCAAAAGTCCCGATCCAGCCATTTCTGAGATTAGCCGAAACAAACAGATAGACTTAATATATAAAAATTGTATTTTTATTATAAGTACCATATATACTTTCATATGTATTTAGTAAAAAGCTGTTATTTCGACATTACAAACAGACATTTCAATTTTATTTATCTGTATAGACATCTTTCTAGTTAAAGAAAGTTCAACAGTGATATACACATGTATATACGTATATAGTGGCTACTTCCTATCCTATCCTGTTACACGAAGTAGTTTCCAAGGGATATCATCCTTTTGAAACGTCACCTAAGCTATCTTAAATATTTCGTCGCCTGAGTGCTTATTTGTTCAAAGTCAAGCTACCAATACTCGTTGTACTTTACAGTAGAGAGTTTTTTCCTCTATTTTAAAAACAAAACTTTATTTCTAATATCAATATACATACAATATCTATACTAATATTATAAAGAGGCAGAGTTTGTTTGAACACGCTAATCTCAGGAACTGCTAATCCGATTTGAAAAAAATCTTTTTCTCATTACAAAGTCCGTTTGTTGAATGCTATAAGCTATTCCCGGAAAATATACGGTTTCGGTGGGATAGACTTGTTTTTTCTATGGACTAACAGGAAGCAAATCGAGGGTAAGTCATTAGTGTATAGATAAAATACACCTTTCCGTTTTATTAAAATACAAATAGTATATTTGACTTTTTTATAATCGACAAAAACTCTTTTGATAAATTGGTCGTATTAATCTATACATATAATAAAATCGTAACTAAGTCGAATCTGTACATTAAATATTTTTTGGGAAATCTTATTGAAATAGATATTATTATCGATACAAAGGCCGAATGTATAGTTTTTAGAATTTTTATCTGTCTGTCTGTTACCGCACCACAGAAAAACCACTAAAGGGATTTTGATGAAATTTGGTATGATGATAGCTGGTTATCCGGGTCAACATATAGGATACTTTTTACCGCGAGAAAATATCTCATTTCTGGGAAAAAATGCAAAAACTGCAATGTAAGAGTATACAGACTAGAAAACCTAAGAATTTGGTTTTTGGTCATCTGAACGCGGGCGGAGCCGCGGGTAATGCTAGTAATTCATATTATATCTTATTCGATGTACCTACATAAAGACTATCGATAGATACTCGAAACTGTACGAGTTCGCTGTATCTCGATTGAAGTAACGGTTTTCATCCGATACAGCAGTGTTTTTAAAACGTATCTCGTAGCTTTAGAGAGAATTTTTAACGATGTTTTTTTACTTACTTGTTTTTTCTCTGTGCTATAGAAGTTTTACCTAAAAATATAGTAATGAAAATTTTTATAAAACGACGCCTTCGTCATATTAGAACGTAGATAATGTTTATTGTATTTATTTTTAGAAGGCTTGGTTTTTCTTAAGTATTACTTAAACACTAGCGACTCACCCTCGCTCCGCTCGGGTTCGTCCCTGGGGTGGGGTCTGGGAGGACCACCCTTATCCTTATCACTTAGGGGTATGAAAAATAGATAGTAGCCGATTCTCAGACCTACTGAATACGCATATTATGTTATTATGTTTTAAAGAAACACAGCATTGTTTTCTTTGTTGTTCGACGACACGTTTGGCTCAGTTTGTAGTGATCCTACTTGCTGTGCCAGCGGTCGCGGGTTCGAGTCCCGCTGGGGGCATTCATTTGTATAATGACGAATGTTTATACTTCAGTCATGGGTGTTTATATTTATAATATGTATGTATTTAAAGTTATATATGTGTAGCGTATCAACTATCTGGTATCCATAACACAAGCCTCGTAGCTTATCATGGAACTAGATGGCGCTGTGTGTTAATGTCCCAAAATATTTATTTATTTAAGAAAGAATTAACATACAGACAATGAAACTCTTTTTTATTTGTACAGCTTTAAAGTAAAGTATAGAATAACCAACTAGATCACTAGGTACTTAAAACTTGAAAATTTTCACTACAAGAAAATTTCTTATCATTATGTACTAAATTTACGTGTGAAGACAAACGCTAAAGCTAGTTCAAGTCATTTATCTATACATATAATAAAATTTTAAGTCGAATGTGTACATTAAATATTTTTTGGAAAATCTTATTAAAATAATCATTATTATCGATACCGAAGTCGAATCAATAGTTTTTAAATTTTTCGTCTGTCTGTTAGTCCGGGAATGCATCACGGTTATCCGGATCAACATTTAGGATACTTTTTAATGCGGGAAAATATCTCTGTGTAATCTATCTATACTAACCTTAAAATTCTATATAAATTAATTCCTATCAACTTCTTCGCAGACAGTTCGGCTGGGACACAGTGACGGCGTTTTCCCAAAACGAAGAGATTTACTCCCTGGCTGTCAACGAACTAGTGACGCAGTTGGAAGCTGCCAACATAACATGTGCCGCCTCTATCACATTCGCTGAATCCGATTTTAAAGAACAATTAAAACAACTTAAGGTAAATTATTATTCGCAGTATTTTTCAGTAGAATTTTTGATTATTAGCGCTTTTGCTTTAGCGCTGTAAAGTCTACTTCTACTACTGTATTAACGAAAAAAACTAATTTCCACATCACTATGGTGATTCCTTATGAGGTAGAGTAAGTTTTTTATGGTACCTTCTGTAGGTCTAATTGCAATAGATTCACACTAACAAAATAGCTCCCTTATATCTGTACGATAAAACTATTTTTCAAATAAAAGGTTGCTACGTAAATTATAGAAAGAATCTCTACTTTAATATATTACGTAACTATTTTATCATTAAATGAGTCGGAAAAGAGATGTTATCAAAAAACTGTTTTTTGGGCATCATTTTTAAAATGAAGCAATAAAAATAACAATAAAGTAAAAATGATTTATGGTACATCGAAATTCACAGGTTTTTTCATAAATAACAAATACTCTTCAGAAAAATTAATACATATCGATAAGTATACTATTCTTATATTTTATAGCTATTGAAGTATATTTAAGCTATTTTTTTTCTTCTTTATGGAACAAGAATTCATAAAATGTACCAGCCAGTTATTTTGATTGCTCTTTTGTCCGAACACTAAAAGTGATACTATCTATCTGAAACTACGATTTTATCAATGAATTTTATACCGGAAATAGCTTTCTCTACACTGAAAGCTCAATTTTCAATTAAGTATATTAAAATAAAAGCTTTTGAAGGTTAGGACTATTGGAACTATTTTAAAAGGAAATTGTGTAAAAATTAAAAGCTTTTTTTTAATTCAATAACTAACTTTTTGATGGGAATTGTAAAGCTACCAAAATTTCAAAGGATTCATTTAATTATATCTTAATATAATTTAGAAAATATTGAAAAAAAAAGAAATTTTGCCTATACTTATAGTTATCTTATAGCAATAAAAATATTATAAATGTATTTATTTTTATAGGATTTTTTCATATTTAACCTATACATATAATAAAATTCTAACTGAATCTAATCTGTACATTGAATATTTTTTGTAAAATCTTATTGAAATAGTCATTATTATCGCTATATAGGCCGAATCTATAGTTTTTAGATTTATATCTGTCTGTCTGTCTGGGAACGTATCACGAGAAAACCACAGGACAGATTTTAATGAAATTTAGTATGATGATAGCTGATTATCCGGGTCAACATATAGGATACTATTTACTGCGGGAAAATATGTCATCTCTGAGAAATCTATACTAAACGTTAACTATAATTTATGTAATTCTAACCATATCAATTTACTAGAATAATATATTCTTGATGCAATATTTCAGGCCCTCACCGATATCAGACGACAATTCTATTTGCATAAATACTATTTAAACTTCAAATAAAAAATCTATCCTAAAATTAGATTTCAACTCTTATTTCATTGGAGTTTTCTAAAGGTAAAATGTACTCGCTCTTTTCGCGTAGGTTTCGAAGCTTGCTCTTATGTTTTAAATTAAAGTTACATTTACATAGATCTAAGAAGTAAATTAAAGTGGAACGTTATTAAGGAGATGAGCGTTTCCAATCTGAATAAATTTTAATTAAATTCGTAGCTATAATCGCTTGCTGCGGCTTTCAAATGAAAGAAGATAATATCCCACTGATGGGATATGATATTGTGATAGACGAGCGACTCACTCTCGATTGACTCGGGTATTTTATTTTTTTTGAGCGGAACCCTAATTCTTTTACTGAAATAAAAGTAGCCTAAATTACTCCTTACAACATCAACTACCTGCCAGTGCAAGTCCTGTCAAAATCGGCCCAGCTGTTTTGGAGATTAGCAGGAACAAACATACAGACAGACAAAAATTTTAAAAATTGTGTTTTTCTTATGAATACCGTATATAATTCTATATGCATTCAGTAAAAAGCTGTTATTTTGACATTACAAACAGACACTTCAATTTTATTTATCTGTATAGATATATAGATTTATGAGATGGGATAGGAGATAATTCATTTCAATCAATTAAACATTACAATTTATAAATTAAGTAATAAGCTTGAAATTAACCTACATCTATACATATAATAAAATTGTAATTAAGCCGAATCTGTACATTAGATATTTTTGGAAAATCTTATTGCAATAAACATTATTATCGATACAGAGACTGAATCTATAGTTTTTAGAATTTTCGTCTAAATATAGTCACGAGAGAGTTCTCTAAAATAACTAATTATTTAAAATATAGAGTTATTTTTTTTAAATATTTATTATTAGAGACTATTCAATCCAAATGTATTAAAACAATTCATAATAGACAAAAATGTCGTATAAAGCTTATTATCTAGGTATTCTTATGTTATTTTATTTTTTGTTATTGTAACATTAACAAAAAATAAAATAACAATAAATTCATTAAAGTGGCATTTTTTATTTCAACAAAAAGAATGCTATAAACACGAGTAAATAGCGAAGTAAGTCATGTCTAGATAAAATGGCCATTTCCTGCTCAAGATCTAACATGAACAAATTCTGGTCATTTCTCTTTATAGTTTAGACTTAAAAGGAGATCTAACACTAACCCGTATCACGATTTAACAAACTGAGGGTCACTTTTAGTAAAATTCTTATTTTCACAGCAGTACAATTTAATTTGGCTTAGCATGATTTAGAAAAACAATTTCTTAAATTGACGCAAAATTTTCACATTGTAATAAACTACAAAGATATTTTTTTCAAAATTTTATTTTATCCGACTTCCAAAAAGAAGGTTCTGTGTTCGTCTGTATAAACCATAAGAGCATAAAATAGGGGATGAAAGTTTTTTTTTAGTTTTTTTGTAGTTTTAGCGAAGCCGCGGGCTCTGCTAGTCTATATATCTATATATAAATAGGCAAACACAAAACAGTTCAATACTTTTTTCTCCTCTATTTGTCAACCGTTTTTTTTGTAGTGGCCCTACTTGCCAGCGGTCGCGGGTTCAAATCCCGCTGGGGGTATTCATTTGTGTGATGAGAACGAATGTTTGTTCTCCAGTCATGGGTGTTTATATTTATAATATGTATGTATTTAAAGGTATATGTGTATTGTATCTATCTGGTATCCGTAACACAAGCCTCGTAGCTTACCGTGGAACTAGATTGTGCTGTGTGTTAATATAATAATATATATAATAATAAATCTTTAATTCAGGCAAAAACCCATAATTACACAAAAAAAAAGATAAAAGGATAACACAATATACAATTTATCTATTCTAAGAGTTAGTAATACAAAATACTTAATGTCCCAATATATTTAATTTTATCAATAACTTTTTTTTAAAAGCAATTAGTTTTTTTATAGATCGGTAAATTCTATTCATATCCAAATTTAAAAAATGATGGCCAAATCTCCACCATAATCACTGGACTAGACGAACTCTATAATAGTTAAATATTAAACGTTTATATTTATATGCGGTAGCGTTAGTTAATATTATAATTAATTATAATGCAATAGTCTCTCTGCAGCTTTGTTACTTTTGCCTACTTTTACGAGGTGACAGATCAAAAGAATGACCACGGATTATTTAATAGTTAATGCTTCTACGCTTGATTTCCACAAGGTATTGTTCACCGCTATCCAAACAAACAAAAAAAATCTCCTCGGGATAGGAAACCAATTTTTATCAGAATTTTTTTGGCAATATGCAAAAGTACTGTGTATCGTATAGCGTATTTATTATACCTATTAAATTAGGTGTACCTATAATACTACAGTAAAACGCGTGCGAAGCCGCGGGCTGTTACTATTTGTAGCTGCAGCCCGCGTTCTTATAATAACTTTTTTTTTCAGAAACTAGATACCAGGATTATAATAGGGAGCTTTTCTCAAGAAATGTTACCGAAGATTTTTTGCGAGGTGAGCGTGTAATTTGTGACATAATTTTAAAATGTTTACGTAAAATTATATATTTTATAAATATATTTGATTGATACCTAGGTACATAACGTTCGAAAACTACATTTAATTAAATTAATATTTAAAAAATCTTTTCTATAACAATGGGGTTAAATTAATTTAAATTTTGTTATTTACCTTTCATTTGATATCCATGTCATGGGCGTGCATAAAAAACATATTCCGCCATCGTTGGGAGTCCACCATGTTTGATTTAACGTCGCTTATCTAACCATTAAACGTGTATGACCCGAACAAACATACATACAAACATTACAAGTTATATAAAAGCTTGTAAAAAAAACATGTCTCCGACCATATATATGTTTATAAACAATACTTTTATATTACGATTTTTATGAAAGCTCCTTTTTTCCCTTGAAAATGTCTTGTAATTTTCAAAATTTAATTTTAATCGCTTCAAGATTAGACAATTAATCGTCTCCATTTTCAAGAACATACGGCGGTTTCATAATTAATTCATCAATACGAACGTATAAGTAGAATTGAAATAGGATTCAAAGAAAAGGTTATATATCTACTTTTTATATAAAGATATATTTATTTTGTTATACTTTATTTTTAAAACAATTTACAATATATGTAATTTTAATTTGTCGAGGCGCAGGCCTATCAGTTGGGGATGTTTGGGGCGGAGTACGCGTGGCTGGTGGCCGGGGCTCCGCCTCGGATCAGGGGTGCTTCGCCCTGCACCCGCTCTCAACTGGCTCGGGCTCTAGAAGGACTTGTCTCGGTCACTGCGCATCGTGGTATCGTTGGTGACGTGGTCTCTTATTCAGGCTTGGTAATTATTTTTTTCTTAAAACCTTTGCATTTTAGAAATGTTTTTATTTGAATTTGGGCTGATTTTGTCTAGCTCCAGCTTAATCGTCAAATGAAAGCTATTCGTAGGACATAAACAAAATTAAGAATTACTGTCGTATGGATTTGAGTTCAAAATATTCAGTTTTATTTTTAATCGCTGCTGGGCACGAGCTTCCCTTCAATGCGAGGGGGATCAGGTCATAGTCCACCACGCTGGCCAAGTGCGGATTGGCAGACTTCACATGTCTTTCGAAAACTTGCTAGGTTATCTCAGACATGCAGGTTTCATTACTATGTTTTCCCATAAGATAAGTGGTATATGTTAGAAATCATTCACACATGAAAATGTCAAAGGTCCGATACCCGGGATTTGAACCTGCTTTACTCGGTATCCTAAGCGAGCACGTTGCCACTGGACTACCACTGCCTTTTATCGTACCGCCCTGGAAGTTGCGAGTCGAGTCCCGTCCAGGACTTTTAGTATTAATCTTTAAGTAGATGATACGGTATTGATGAATATTAAGTTAAAAAAAGTGTAAAATAATATATAAAGTTTTAAGTTAGTGACTTAGTGGTGGAAATTAGTGCTCAATGACAGAAATAATCTGATACTGAGATGCATGAACGACAATATAGTATGCTAAAATTGGCTCTCATGAATCACTCTAATTTTCGATCCCCAAGCCCTATCTTCTATACATATAATAAAATTGTAACTAAGTCGAATCTGTACATTAAATATTTTTTGGAAAATCTAATTAATATAGGCATTATTATCGATACAGAGTCCGAATCTATAGTTTTTAGAATTTTTGTCTGTCTGTCTGTTACCGCATCACGAGAAAACCACTGGACAGATTTTAATGAAATTTGGTATGATGGTAGCTGATATCCGAGTGAACATATATGATACTTCTTACCGCGGGAAAATGTCTCATTTCTGAGAACAAATACAAAACTGTAACGTAAGAGTATTCTAATATGTAAACCTAAGAGTTTGGTTTTTGGTCATCTGAACGCGGGCGGAGCCGCGGGCAATGCTAGTATAATATAATATCGTATTTTCCTTAAAATAGTTAAGGAAAATATTATGAAGAACTTTTTATATACCCGCTCTTTCCGTATTAGTAGATGGACAGTTTAGGATGATTGATGAGATGTGTATGAGAGCTATTATACACTGTGCTTATGCTACATTACATTTGACGAGAGCAATATATGCATATTCATATAATTTTAATGCACTACACTCGTAAGCCTTTAATTTCGATTGTTTTGAATTCAGTATATTTTTAATTTAAGCTTGTTTAAAGAATTCTGAAACTAGTAATAAACGTAAATGGTGTCAAGACAAGTTTTTATCATTAATGTGCTTACAAAATATTTTAGATATGAGATTTATATTATATATTATATAAAACAAAGTCGGGTTTGTTACAACACTTATAACTCGAGAACTGCTGAACCGATTTTCATGGTTTTTGATTTGTTGGATTTGTCTCCGCCCCGAATAGCAGAATAACTATTAAAACTTCGCAAAAATATACGAAAAAAAATCTATTCCATACTAATATTATTTTTTAACTTTTAATTATTTATTTATTATTTTAATTTAACCTTTATATTATTTTTATAGTATCAGTTAGGTACCTACATTTGTACATATTATGTATGTATGAACGACTTTACATCCAAGTGAAGCCAGGAAGTACGCTAGTTTCAAATAACAATTGTAGAATTTAAAAGTTAATATAGAATAAATCATTTCTTTGAATGATATTAAATATATTAAATGCCTGAATTTTTACATTAATTCAAATAAATCGATTTAAATCTCATTTAATTGGACTTTTAGCTATACACTTATTATATAAGTTAATTAACGTCTACAGACAAACGAAATGTTCTACCGGGAGATGCAAGGGGCAGGTGTACCGCTGTCCCCCTTTGCACCCCACACGTATGACGCTGTGTGGGCGATAGCGCTAGCTCTGAGCAAAGCTGAGCAGCTGTGGCGAAGCCTGGAGACAAACAATGGCAAATTTGGATTAGGACATTTCGACTATAACAGAAAGGATATGGCTGAAGAATTTCTAAATCAACTGGCTAATTTAAGCTTTCTTGGTGTTTCGGTAAGATATATTTATATACGTCGTTTTAACACTCCACCTCAGCTATTGTAATTACATGGCGACTGATATTTTACTTACCTTAAATTTTATTCCTGTATAGATATGTTTTTACTTAAAAAAACTATAAAAACTCACGCTACTTCTAACAATTTGGTCTCTTTTAACACCATACAACTCGACAATCAGTTTTTTTTTTAATTTAATACCCTACAAGCAAAGTAAAGGATAACGCAATTTTATAAATAGCTAAACAACGTAGCGGTAACAGGATATTCTTCATCCTTCCGGATAATGCTTCACCGTGAATTACGCTAAAATACTACATTCGTAACATTTTTTTCATTAGCTACCATATTTGTTTTCTTTTCGGCTCTGAAGTGTTGTTATTTTTCGAATTAGTTTTTGTTCACTCAATTACTAAGAGAAAATACCTGTTGAATGACAATTTTGACTTAAATACACTTAGGTAACAATCTATACATAAAATAAAATTGTAACTAAGTCGAATCTGTACATTAAATATTTTTTGGAAAATCTAATTGAAATAGACATTATTATTGATACAGAGTCCGAATCTATAGTTTTTAGAATTTTTGTCTGTCCGTCCGTCCGTCCGTCCGTCTGTCTGTCTGTTACCGCACCATGAGAAAATCACTGATGATGATAGTTGGTTATCCGGGTTACATATAGGATATTTACTGCGGGAAAATATCTCATTTCTGAGAAAAAATACAAAAACTGAATTGTAAGAGTAAACTAATATGTAAAACCTAAGAATTTGGTTTTTGGTCACCTGAACGCGGGCGGAGCCGCGGTCAACGCTAGTAATTAAATAAGACCTAGAATCAGGGATTATTTGTTAGTAAAGCACGTAACAAACTTGGTATAGACCAATAGCACTAACTCCGAAAGAAAAATATGAATTCTCTGAGGAACAAGAAAAATCGATTCACTATAGCTGTACATAGGCAATATGTACATAAATTGTTATTTTCTTTATTTGACTTATTCGTATATCTACTTAGACAATTCTCTAGAGAAAATCTATCCACTAACTTCAGTTTGTTTCTTTGCTGAACAGAATCTATTACAGCTAACCTTATTTGTATTGACTTCAAATTGAAATTCGTGTTCAATAATATATATTTTTGCCTTAACTGTACTTACTTGTATATATAATCTTCCATATACGAGTATATATATAAAAATCAACAACCATTCGTTAATCTCGCTAAAACTCAAAAATGGCTGGATCGATTTAAATAATCCTTTGACTCGTTGTGTTTGGGGTGTTTCAGGGTGGTTTAAGTATAAAAAAATTGGGAAAACCCAAAAGATCAGCTGGAAAATCTAAGAGTTCAGAACTGTTTATTTTATATGGGAATCACTAACCGTTAAAATGTACCTAACGGCTAGGGACGAACCCAAGCGAATCTTGGATGAGTCGTTAGTTTTTAATATAAACATGTAAAAGTTATGGAAAAGCTTTTATTTTCCTTTATATTATAATGAAAAAACATGTGCTGGCTGATCCATGGTTTTTCGTAACATACTTAAAACAGCTTAAAAATGTCAGTAGTTGTTTTTTGTGTTTTATATTATTTTGTATTTATCGCCTGAAATTGTATTTTTCATTATTATTTATCTAACTGATGATCATTCAATCGACTTCATCATTACTGACTATTTAAATTAGATGAAGCTTATTCGTTAATTATAAATTGAAGACATTTTTTGAACTGAAACTTCTTTAGAATCGTTGTGATTTGAAACTCGATGAAACGGAAATGCAACACTAAAAAGAGACAAACACATAAATATATAGGATCGAGCCGGCGAGAGAATGAGATAGCATACATTGTCATGTTGCCATGGTAACCGTTGTTATTGTCTGACAAATATATACTTAATATTATATTCTTTCCATATATGATATTCTATAAATATGTTATTCTAATATGCCTTATATGCCTTATTTAATATTATTGATTTCTTTTAATTTAAAATTGCGATATTTGCCAAAACGTTTTTTTTTTATTATTTGAGATAGAATACATTACACAGGAAATGATAAATAGTAAAAATAATTACTGAATAATATGTAATGTATGTAATTATGTCAAATAATATGTAAAATAACTTTTGAACTTGGTAAAAATTATATTCAAAAAATAAAACTTTTAATTATTCTTATCCTGATACTCTATATTCTTCTCATTCTCTCGTAGGTTACTATCCTGAATTTTCACTTCTATGTGTGAATAGCACACCCGCACTTCTTTTTTATTTTATATCTATACATATAATTTGTTATTGTAACTAAGCCGAATCTGTACATTAAATATTTTTTGGAAAATCTTATTTAAATAAACATTATTATCGATACAGAGGCCGAATCTATAGTTTTTAGAATTTTTGTCTGTCTGTCTGTCTGTCTGTTACCGCATCACAGAAAAACCACTGGAGGGATTTTGATAAAATTTGGTACGATGATAGCTGGTTATCCGGGTCAACATATAGGGTACTTTTTACCGCGGAAAAGTATCTCATTTCTGAGAAAAAATACAAAAACTGCAATGTAAGAGTAGAAACACTAATATGTAAAACCTAAGTATTTGATTTTTGGTCATCTGAACTCGAGCGAAGCCGCGGGCAATGCTAGTGTCAAATAAAATGTTAAATAACTTTTAAACTTGGTAAAAATTATATTAAAAAAATAAAACTTTAATTATCCTACTCCTGATACTCTATATTCATCTCATTCTCTCGAATAAACTTTTCTGAATTTTCACTTCTACCATGTGTAAACAGCACACACACACACTTCTTTTTTATTTTATATTTAATCACAAAACATTATTTAACTCCCATAAACTAATTGCGTCTATTTTTCAGGGTCCAGTCTCATTTAACGGAGCCGACAGGATAGGCATGTCCGCTTTTTATCAGATTCAAGGTACGTCACGGTACGTAAGGTATATCATCAACTGTTTATTACTCCAAAAAATTCTCGTCTTCGCGGTACAACGGTTTATCAAGCGACTTCTTGATCTCACTGTATAAATTTTAGAACAGAAAACCCTAATTAGACTTATTTATTTTCTATAATATAAAAGTGGCATAAAAGGCAGTGGTAGCCCAGTGGTAACGCGCTTGCTTGGGAAACCGAGTGAAGCGGGTTCAAATCCCGGGTCTCGCACCTCTGATATTTTCATGTGCGAATCATTTTTAACATGATTACCACTTGTCTTACGGTGAAGGAAAACATCGTGAGGAAACCTTTCGAAAGACATGTGAAGTCCGCCATCCCGCACTTGACCAGCATGGTGGACTATGGCGTGATCCCCCTCGTATTGAAAGGAGACCCGTGCCCAGCAGTGGGACGTTATAAAGGGCTGAATACATACACATAAAAAAGTGCCATACACATACATGCATACGGCCTACCAATCAGATTCTGCCATAATATGATGACAGATTCCCTTTAAAAACCCAAAAATCCCCTATTGTTTGTACAATTAAGATATAAACAACACATTATATTAATATACTAGCGATAGGTTGATTCCCCATACAAACTTTCATCCCCATTTTCACCACTTTAAGGGATGATTTCCGGAATAAAAATCCCAATTAAGTAAGTAAGTAATTAGTATCCAAAACCCTTCCCAGGGTCTCAAACTATCTTTTTACCAAATTTCATCTAAATCGGTTCAGTAGATCCAGAGATTACCCGGTACAACGTCACAAACTCACAAACTTTACCTCTTTATAATATTAGTATAGATTATTAGCCAGTAGCGTTCAGACGTAAATAATAGATTTGAACTAATTGAGCTAAAAAGATATTCAGGCTGACCGGCTTACATGTAGTTAAATTATATCCTTTGTTTTTCGACCTGTTTATTAGTAAGCAGAAGCTCTATATAGGTTTAATACGTGAATTTGGTTTTAATAAATTAACGATTTAAAAGTGCTTATAAATTTCTATTAATTGTATAAAATACATTTTGATTTTATTTTATTTGATACGCTTATTATGCTGTTCTCCTGACCGATTCCGGCCACGGCGGCCAATCTCATTGAGACTAGCCAACTGCGCAGGAGATATTATAGTGCACAAGTGTACGCGCAGACACAAGTGCACTCTCTATTCCTGTCACTCTCATACTCCGGTGGGACGACACGAGTAACGACCGGTGAGGGTGTCGGCGCAGGACCGACGGCTTTACGTGCTCTCCGAGGCACAGGGGTGAAACACCGCCAACTTCCCAACTCCGGGCTGTTACTGAGACTTACTATACAGAAAGACTCAATAACTAATCTTGGCCCGGCCCGGGACTCGAACCCAGGACCTCCGAGTGTGCAGCCGTACATGCTAGCCACTACACCAACGAGGCAGTTAGGTTAGGCACACGCTTATTATACCAGAGGCATTACTAAAGACCAGAACGGAAACAGAAAGGGAAACCTATTCTCCTTTCATCCCCTCCGAGTAAGGGAATAATTGAAGAAGCTCAAACCCTTCTTCTAACGCTGAACTATAAACTTAGCCCCGAACTCGTTTTACACAAATCAAATATTTATAGGTGGGCGTCCAAAAACAGTAGCACTATACACTCATGGCAAAGAGATGACATGCCCAGAGTGTGCAAGACCACAGTGGGCGGGCGGCGTCCCCGCGGCCAGGCGGGTACTAGTCCTGCGAGTAGACTCCGTGTGGGCCCCCGCGAGGCTTGCTGTAGCAGCTCTTAGTGGCGCTGGTGTTGCCCTGGCTTTAGCGTTTTTAGCATTCAATTTACATTATAGTAAACGAAGGTAAGTTAAAAGTTTCTTAAGACTTAATTATATATAATATACTAGCTGAGTCGCTAGTATATAATATATATATATATATATATATATAATATACTAGCGACTCACCCTCGCTTCGCTTGGGTTCGTCCCTAGGTTGATTCCCCATACAAATTTTTATCCCCATTTTCACCCTCTTAAGGGATGATTGCTGGAATAATAAATATCCTATGTCCTTCCCAGGGTCTCAAACTATCTTCTTAGTAAATTTCATCTAAATCAGTCCAGTACTTTTTGAGTTTATTCGTTACAAACATACAAAAATGCAAATCTTTCCTCTTTATAATAATAGTATAGATTAACGCTTTTAATTAGATACCAGTTTTAATAATAAAGAGTATTTTATAATAAAAAAAGTATAATAAAGATAATAAACGTTTTTGCAATATTATATTAAGGAAGATAAGTTGTTGAAGAAAGTTTGTAGAAGATATTGTCTCTAGTAGAAGCGATCGTATAAAATGTATCTATTCTAAGTATCTACTTAAGTATTAAAGTATAACAAAATGTCTCTTTTTACCTCTTTTGCATCAACCGATGTGGCGTTATACTGCAATTTTTAGATTGCCACACTTTAGTGCTCTGGAAGTAACGTGTTCGATTCTCGCATGGCGGAAATATTTGATTATACTTACAAAGAATCTGGTTAAATGTAAGCGTAATATGTATTTAATCTACGCCTGAGGTCGCTCGTTCCAGCCCGCTCTGAACAATTAACCTTTGTAAGTTTGTACACATTTTACATACTAATATTTATTTATCCGCGAAATTTTGGCAGAAAATCTTAGCACCTTGACTCTGGTAAAGTTGAGTGTTATGATTATTTGAACAATAATATATTTTTTCTTAGATTTATAAAGCTCTCGTCGCCTCGCCTCAATAACATGACATTGATCGGTTGCGTGCTGGTGTATACCGCGGTCGCACTTCTGGGCGTGGACAACGCAATATTGCCGTCATACATACCATTTTCTGCTATGTGCACAGTAAGTATAATATAATGAAATAAAAATTTTTGTGCGCTCGCGTGTCGATAAAAATTGTTGAGTTACATATATTTTTGTATATGTTGAGATATTAACACACAGCACCATCTAGTTCCATGGTAAGCTACGAGGCTTGTGTTATGGATATTAGATAGTTGATACACTACACATATATGATTTTAAATACATACATATACATAAAAAAATACACTTTTCACAAACTTTTGCATTATATATAATGTTAACATTGTATTATGTATGTATTCAGTCCATTTTAACCATAAGGATCATACCATATAATGCTTTGTGGCTAGAATTGTATTTTATATTATGCACTAGCTCTAGAAAAGCATAGACAGATATATCCCACGGGAACCGTTTATTTTCCCGGGATTAAAAGTAACTTGTTGTTAGACCGGCAATATAAGGTATCAATCAGCATGCCAAATTTTACTAAATTAGGTTCATAAGTTGTTGTGTACTAAGCTGTAGAAGTTATTTTAGTTTTTTAACTATCCCACGGGAACTATTTAATTTTCCGGGAAAAATAGTATCTAAAATGTTGCCCGGGGATATATGGTACCACCATGCAAAATTTCATTTAAATCGGTGTAATAGATTCGGAGATTAGCCCGCACAAACAGATAAACAGACAGAGAAACAAAAAAATTGAAAAAAAACTAGATATGTTCTATTTGTCTTCTTACATCACCCTGACTCAGTTGTTAGCATTTTTGTTCTATGTACAGACATTCGACCTCTACAGTTTTATTATAGTATAGATAGTTACTTTAACGTATGATGCTACAGAAAAAAATATTTATGATATATCGTAATGGGCTTCTTCAATTATCTAAACTGTGCAACTGTGTAGATATATATTATGTTCATATTAATTAAGCTTTTGTTTTTTCTTTATTTAATGCACTTATTGTAAATGTAAAATGAAACAAGCAATATTTTTATTTTTATAGTTTTTTACATATCTCTTTGTCATAATAATAACTTTTACTGGCATTGTTAACCGAGCAACAATATTTTATTTGTTAATCAAATTGTGGTACTCTTGATACAGGCTTTGCCTAGTGTGAGTTACCCTCAGTAATGAAATATATTGTAAACTAAACTTTTTGGACAATAAAGATTATTATTATTATTATTAACCCTCAAGCTTTGCTCAGCTGCGTCCCTAAATGCCTACAAATAGCTTATTTGTTACTCTAGGTCTTATTCTAACAGCACTAAATTTAGCACTAAATTTCATTCAAATCCATCCAGCCGTTTTAACGTGAAGGTGTAACTAACATACACACACATACAAACAATCGCAGTCTGATATAATTTTAATACAATGTAACTTTATAGTTTTCGATTCAATTATTTTGTTCAATGGCTCCTAGGAGGTTTATAATTTTTTAATTTTTATAGATAATAATAACTTCAATTTGTTTTTTTTTAAATCGACTACCATAATATATCAACAGCCACTTGAAACAACACTCTCTCAGCCAGAGTATACACTCTATAATGTTTTCAATAACATATTTTTCATTAATTTTTAAAAATTAATTGAAAACATACATATTCTTCAGTATATTTTTTAAATGATTTTTTAAATTAATAAAAAACATGATACTATTGACGAAATATAAATTTAAAGTAATTATTTAATACTTAGCTTTCCCATGTGGCTTTTTACCTTAGATTTTATTTTTTCTAAACTCAGTCTCTCCCGTGACTATGATTGCTATAAAGCATGCGAAATGTCACAGCCAAAAATCAAAATAAATCCGCGAAAAATCGGAAAAAATAGTTTATTTAAAAAAACCCTAAGCTTCTTTGATGGTCTCATAATAATTTATCACCTCTGAATCTAACTATAATTTAAAACATTATCAACTGACTTCAAAAAAAGGAGGAGGTTCTCAATTCGGTTGTATTTGTTTTATGTTTGTTATAATGTTAAGTAATAGATATAATATAAATAACACTGTATGAAAATAGATTCAATAATATTCAAAATTATGCAAAAAATGTTGAAAAAAATCGATGTCAGAATATTCGAAATATTAAAATGCTATATGAAATTTCTCATTAATTGTATTAAAAACAATAATATATTTTATTTACAGGGAAGAGTTTACATTCTATCAGCTGGATTTTCTTTAGCGTTCGGTTCAATGTTCGCGAAGACGTATAGAGTTCATAGAATATTTATAAGGTAATCACAAAATTCGCCAAAAGCTAAATAAACCAGCAACTCTCGTCTAACATAAGTTACTTTAATGATCTTTTAACTGAATTAGTTATAATCAGATTATAATAGCAAATAAATGGTAACAGACCCAACTTTTTTAATAGTATTTTAGTTGCTACACAATATTTATACTGTAATAAGTATATCTGATTATGTTATTTTAACTATAAAGAAGTAAATTATGGAACTAGGTATTTCGTAGATTATTTCAATCGTAAATTAAAAGTCAGATTTATTTCCTCTGCTTCAAAGAAACAGCCGAATATATTATCCTTTTCAGAAATCGGTCAATTATATTTTTACTTTCTTTCAGTAATCGAAGCGGTGTATGTAAAACCAAACTTCTGCAGGATACTCCTCTGATATCCTTAGTTTGTGCGCTTCTCGTGATCGACGGACTTATAGTGACATTGTGGGCTATTCTAGATCCAATGGAACGACATCTAAAAAATTTAACTGTCGAAATCAGCGCCACAGATAGGAGTGTGGTGTATCAGCCACAGGTTTGTATTAAAATTCTTTTTATTGAGAAAGATTCACCTTTTTAATAGTTTAATTGAGGCCATTCGTACTTATTCCCTCGACGACCGCGGACACGCCGGCGTTACAGTTAACAATATATTTCTTAGAAATTTAATTAATTTCTTAGAAATTTACCTGGAGGAGTTAAATATACATACATATGTGTAGTGGGTACTAACGCTCCATCTTAAACAAAATAGTCAGGCAATCAATGCTGCACAATCAATGAATCAATGTCATAAACACCAGCGTCGTACGGAGATACCACATCACTCTATATAACGTCTTTAAAATTTTCAAGCCAAGCCTCATAAATATTTTAATCCAATTTTTCCAGGTAACTTAGCAAATTCCAATCGAATTCCACTTCCATTTTTCAGATAGAAGTTTGCAAATCCCAGAACACAGCAGGCTGGTTGTGTGCACTGTACGCTTATAAAGGTCTATTACTAATAGTTGGTGTCTACATGGCGTGGGAGACTCGAAATGTGGAAATTTCAGCCCTCAACGATTCTAAATATATCGGTATCAGTGTATATTCTGTTGTGATAACCAGCGCGAGTGTTGTGGTTATTGGCACCATCATATCTGAAAGAGCTACTTTGGCGTACATAACTATCACCAGTCTGATCCTAATTGCGACGACTTCAACGCTGTGTTTACTGTTCTTGCCCAAAATTATAGCAATTAAATGTAAAGGTGAGAAGATTCATTATTTTTGGTTATAAATAGTTTTTCTTTTAAAATTACATTTAATCTGGATATTAATTTCAATGTAACAGCTGCCAGGTGTTTACGACAAAGTTAGATGAATGAAAAACTTATTTAAAAAACCTTCAATTTTATGGAAAAATTTCAAAGTCATTGTATTTTGAAAAAACCGCTATTTCTGACATTCATCGTGGTTAATATCAATTGATTATGTCAAATTATTTCTTACAAAATGTAAGAGAGCAAATAAGAAAGGAATTTTGTTAATTCTTTACTATGCTCATCATTTTTAGAGTAAAATTAGAATTGATAGTTAAGTGGTTGTGTGCTTTTTCTGTCGGGAACTTCCATCGAGCTTACTGTTAGTGTTGCCATACAATAATCTAAAAATTTGCTCATTTGCATAATCTTTTTTAGCTGAAGACGATCCCGTTATACAAAGCATGGGCTTACGACTTGAGTGTAAAACTAGAAGATTTGTGACAGATGAAACTCAAGAACTACATTTCCGAACAGAAATACAAAACAAAGTTTATAAACGGGAAGTTGCTGCATTAGATCGTGAAATAGGCAGGCTGGAGAAGATGTTAGCAGAACCTTTGGATCAGGGATCCAACGCGTCTGTTGTCTTACATAAACGAGTTAGTGTTTTTTTTGTGAAACTTATATTTACTTTTACATTACTTTACTTTCTTCTCCATTCTTCCATTTATTTTCATTCTTTTTCCCACATACTATTGTAATAATATAATATCATTAATCATACCATAATTTAAATCAAATCATCATGTTCTCTATTGGGGCGTCCATTATTATTACTTTCTTGGAATCAATTTTTATTTTTTTGTTTAATATTACTGCTTGAAAGTACATACATATAGCTAAATTCTATTAGCTAAATAAGAGATTAAGTATCAAATGATTGTCTTCTTTATATTTTACAGACGGAACTCAATACAGTTGAAGAAGAATGCCGTCCAGAAACAAATAAACGGACACCCAGTATAAGTGGCGGTCTACCAATGCTCCTTTTATCAGTACTCCCTCCAGTCATACCTCGAGCGAGCTGGCCTTCCGCCGAAACTTGCTCAAGAAACTCAGTAAGCTTCAGCTCGCAGCCGAAATTAAATAGAAAGTCTCAACCTAATATAGATTTGTACAATCTTTGTCTGAATAGACGTGATGAAAACCAAGGTTTCCTTAGTAGATTGAAAAACTTTTTCGGTAGTAGAACAGCAAGCCGAAAAGCCTCGACTATGTCTATAGCAGATCCAACAGGACAAAGTATAGCGGCTGCATTAAAGATGCACGTGGGTATGATCGCAGGACTCGTCCCAGGGAATAGAAAACATTCTATAGCATTATCCTGTAACACTCTGAATGTTACTGAAATGAAATTACGACGGGAATCTTATGCCAAAAGTGGACCTATCATCCGGATAGAAGACGAACCGACTTGTTCTAAATATGAGCACAAATACGTCGCGGAACCAGAAACAAAAGTTAATTTTATGTTACCAAAATCCCATAAAAATATGTCCCAGCAATCCTCAACTGAGAGGATAAAGGGTTCCCCGAGATTTCCCCATAGAATAGCTCCGACTACTAGTTTGAATGTTTTGAGTAAAAGGAAGACAAGTGCTGACAGTGTCTTCTATATATCGGATGGGGGGTTCGACGAGCATCGGCGGTACAGTCATCAAAACGTGAATCAGGAGAGTAAAGGAAAAGCTTCTTTGGAAAGCAGATGGAAATCTACAGAAGACGCAAGACCAGGACCTTCTTCGGGGAATTGAATACGAAATTTATTGTTATATGGATTCCACAAAGAAATTTACGTACACTTTTAAGTATCAAAATTATCGCATCTGCAGACTTTTTTACATACCGAATGCTTAGTTGAAACTTCATTAGTATAATGACTTATATAAATTTGCTTATTGAAACGATCAGTTATCTCCTGTGAAAACACTATTATTACAAACCCACTCATCTATCAAGCAATGGAAAGTCTGCAGGGCTACAAACTTTAAGTATCTGTATGTGCCAAAAATATTAGCATATAATATGTGATAGTTGAAAATAAAAAAATAGTCCATATATCAATTATGTTTATTTTAATTGATTTAAGGAGTACGAAGCTCTTGATAAGTGCAATATTATTTTAAAACGAAGATACATAAGATTTACATACAGCCATATCAACAAATTAGAAGTGTATCTTAAGCGATAAAATATTAGAGAAATATTGTACCTAGCTAATTAAATATAAATACACAGATTTGCACATTGAGATAAATTATTATATCTAAATTACTCAATGTACTACATCTGTGGCATACTTTTGTTTTTTTTTATTAATTTTAATTTAATATTTAGATATAATTCACGAAAATCGTGGATATGTGAGAAATAACACCAAAATTGTAGCTATAATATATGTGTTTAGATGTAGTATACAGAATATTGGATATTTACTACTTTAGATGACATTGACGACCTAAAAACGAAACCTATATTTATGATGATTATTAATAAACTTTAGTAAACAAACTATAATAATCGACTTATAACGTCATAATTGTATGAATGTATTTACGATATTTGTATATACGTAGATACATGTTTTAACCGATGTCTGTCCGTCATGGTATATTTTTTTACGTTTTATCATACATAGTACACTGTTACTCTCTCTTGCTTCGTTCAGGCTACAGCCACAACTACTCCATATGTATTATTATATAGTAGTACCCTTAAAATGTAGACACACATGACGGACAGACAAAATATGACTATTACTACCGATTCAAAGGAACCCAACCAAAAACTCGCTGGTTTACGTATATGACTTTTTTTATATGTTTAACCTGTTAAAAAGTAACAATTTATTAATATTGTATTTGTTGAGAATATAAACAATTTGTTTGTGCTCAACTGGGCGGAGCACTGCCGTGCCCCCAGTCTTCTATTCTGAATATCACTGAAATCGAAATCACACTTGACAAAAACATACATACTCATTAGCAAAGTTTCGCTTGATTTATGTGTGATATAGAGTCTATAGTACCAACTTTTACATCTTTTCATTTACCTACTTAGGTAGATTTTTCAAGTCCTGTTTTTAATCTAGGTAGCTACTAACTTAATAAAATGTAAATATTTGGGTGTCGTAAACTATAAAACTAAAGCAATATTTGTAATTTGAATATTGTAGATATTAAAAAAGACCTATTTTTCAAATATAACTTTACTTATAGGCAAGTGTGTTCAAATTTTATAAGAGAATAAAATATATAGAGTTAGATCAGAATATTTTAGTCGTGTGAAAATAAAACTTTTTTTGAAATTTATGTCATTTTTTCTTGCAAACCCTTATGTTAATATATTAATAGACTATTTATGGTCGATTAATTTTTTATTATTACTTTTAATTACATTATTTACTTTATGGCATTTAATTGTGCTGCCTTAGCCATAATAGCTACTGGCACGTACCTAAATCAAACATAAAAAAAAAACAAATAGGTACTTTATATTATATTTGGACAAATGTAAATGGCTGAAATAGAATCTACTTAGATTTTTTGTTAATAATAATAATAATTGATAAATAAAATAAAATGCGAAAAAGCTGTCACGAGCCTTGTCAGAATTTATTAATTTATATGGCAATACGTGAAAGACAAAGATGTGGCTTTTTGTTTAGGTACTACAAAATACAGATAATATATAGGTAAAGCAAATATTTTAAATTAGATTTTTGATAAAATCAATGGACCTAACCAACTCAAAATCTAAATTACTTTTGACAAGCATTAACAGTCAATCAAGAGAGGAAACTAAATTATTATGATTTTTTATACAATTTTAGTAATTGTAATGGACAAATAATTTTCAAATACACTTTCGCTAAAATTGTTCAAAATAAAAATACATTATAACATTATTACAATTTTATTATAATACATATTTTAAATTTTTATATTATATTATGGCAGCACCAGACATTTTAGTTATTCTGTCTAGAATCTGCCTTTTGATATTTGCATTAACATTGGGCAACTCATTATTTGTTCGTATTGAGGTCTCTATTTTTTGGACAAGTTTTATCTCTCTTGGCCACGCCACGAAATTGGTTATATTACAATCGGTATCTGAGCCAAGTCTTCCAGTTCTACCACAACGATGAATATAATCAGATGTGTATAGTGGAAAATCGTAGTTTATTATGTGACGGGTCTGAAAAATAATCAAATATTTTAGTACATGTTGTAGATAAAGTTGAAAGAAGAATCAAAACATTATTTTAAGTAATTGAATATAATCAAAAAGAAAATTTAAGTCAAAGTCAAGAGTCAAAATAAAGAGTTAACTCAAAGTGAAGATTAAAAAGTAAAAAAAAAAACAGTTTTATTGGCAGGTTGTATTTAAATACCTTATTTATAAAGCCTTAAAGACTTTTTGTTTGTGTAGTTGAAATTTTTATTATCAAGCAACAATTTTATCTTACATAAAAATCTGCATTCACTCACTACTTTTAAACTCCCATAACTATGAAGATATGGCATCTTAAAACGGACTGATTTTAATAAAATTCACTTGATTATAGATATATTTTAGACTTGATCTAATATTTACTGAATGAAATATTTCCAAAGTCTACATCAATATGCATTTCTATAGATGCGATACCAATATTTATGAAGATTTAAAATGATGTAAAAAGATTTGGAGTTTTGAAGCAGAAGACATAACTTAAATATTATAATATATATAATTTTGAACATATTGACAACAAACATATTGACTGATATGTTGACATAATAATGAGACATGAATGTATGTATAATATATATCCGTACGTATATCCATATATTAACTAATTAATATCACTAATTGTGATATATCAATAAAAACACGAAATCAATCGCCTATGTATCTGTATTGAATGCATCCCTTATTCAAAGCTATAGTTCGAGCTATTCACATACTTCATTCTCGTAAAAAGCAGGGATCAAATAAAACTCGATTTCTAACCTTTTAAAAAATAATCCCAACTTACCCTCAAAGTATCAAGGCCACGTGATGCAATATCTGTACATGATAAAACGTTAACTTGGCCATTTTTGTACATGTCAAACTTTCCAAGTTTGAGGGGCACTGCCATTTGTCCATTGACATTAATGCATTCTATGTTATTCTCGTTAAGAAACATACAAACAAAGTCACAAGTGGATGTCTTGTTGGAAAATATCATGACTGGCCGCTTTCTCTTCACATCAACTAAAACTAATTTCAATAATTCCAATGGTTTTTGAGCTTTACCGAGTCGGATAAATCTGTAAATTTACAAAATTTTCAATATAAAAATATATACAAAATAGACTTGCCTAGATGTACCAGGACTAAAAGTATCTTTTAAATTATGACACTTAAAAAAAATCCCATCCCATCTCTGTTACTCTATGAAAAAACAATAAACAAAAACACTTACATACATCCGCCTATCTATCCCTCTCCTCTCTTGTGTAGCCATGGAAAGGCCCTTTTTTAATGCATGATCATCAGGATTTATTGGAGTAAATCTCTTTTACACCGATAATTTCTATATATATTTTTTTGTATTTTTAGTACAACAGAGAATATATAAATTTATTTTCACACACTTATCAGTCACCGGCCAATCTCACATACATATGCCTATAAATAGATAAATAATAATCTTAACATAAAATAAACACCATAACTCACTTGTGAGGAACATGTGGTAAGATCCTATGTATTTTACTAGTTGTAACAGTTCTCAAAGATTGAGGGTCCATAAAAGAGTTTACGGCTTCTGGTAATTCATGTGGCAGTGTCGCACTGACCAATGTAACTTGACATCCTTTTGGAGGACTTTGGATATTCACTTTATAATGAATCTGTAAAATGATACATGGATTATTATTAAATTATATTACCTTGTAATTCTATTTAAATCACTTCTTTATAGTGCTTTTTGTAACCTTATAAAAAGAGAATTTCAAAAAGTTATGTTCTTTAATTATAACTAGCAGCTCACCCTCCCTCCGCTCGGGTTTGTCCCCAGTGAAAAACCGAAATCCCACAAGAACTATACATTTTTCGGGGTTAAAAGTAGCCTATGTGCTAATCCAGACTATAAACTATCACTGTGCCAAATTTCATCCAGATCTGTTCAGCCATCCTAGCGTGATTGAATAACAAACATACATCCATTCAAACTTTCGCATTTATATAGTAGGAAGATTATTTGATATTTTAAAGAGAAAAACTTGTTATTATTATTTCAAACATAAAAATATTTTTCATAATATAAATATATCTTGTGTACTATATATTAATTTGAATAATATAATTTACTTACAGGGACTTTCTTTAACAAATTAGATAACTTGTCAACAAAACTGTCATCTAAAAGTGTATCGGCTTCATCCAACACAATGTGATGAAGATTATGAATTTTAAATATTCCTGTTGTTACAAGCTTGCTGTAGGCTCCTAAAGTTGTCACTAATATGTCACAATACTCAATTGGTGGGTTAATTATTTGTTGCTTTGTTTTACCTCCAACAAGTGTGGATATGTTAATGTTAAGATTCTCTGTAAGATTTTGTGCCACTTCTCCTATTTGAGACGCTATAAATAAATAACATTACATAGTTAAATAAAAGTAATCCATACATATAATAAAATTGTAACTGATTGCTGTCTGTACATGGAAGATATTTAAAAAAACTATTAAGGTTAACTTAAGGGGTCTTTATTAACTTTGTCTATTTGTCTGTGTATTTGTGCATGCTAATCTCAGAAACAGCTTAATCGATTTGGGTGTGGTTTTCACTAATGTATTGTGGTAAGCTTCACTTAATATTTAGTACTTGTTTTATTTCAATCGATTCATAAATAAAAAAGTAACATAAATTTAAAGTATCACCTAATGACCACTGGAATGAGATGGACCCAAACAAAGCGAGGATTAGCCACTAGTTCAATATATTGATTAAATAGTTCTCTAACTAAAAATCTATTTAGAATAATTTTTGAAAAATTAAATAAACTAGATTATAAACAAGTTTTATAGTAAAAAAACAAACATTTATGATTTCCATACTATGAGTGTTATAATTTAAAATTCTATAAATATTATCACCTAATTCTCTACTAGGCGTTATGACTACAGCCAATGGACTGTTAAAATCTTCAGGCACATGAGGTTTCCATTCTAGAACATGTTGAATTATTGGTAACAAGTATGCCAAAGTCTTCCCACATCCAGTTTCAGCAGTCATAGCAGTGTTATATCCTTCTATAATAGGCGAAAAAGACTTAGCTTGAATCTCCGTCGGTAAAGAATAACCTAACTGAGACATAACCTCTCTCAATTGTGGACATAGTCCTATTTCTTCAAAAGTTTTACGATAGACTTCTTTTTCTTCTTTTTTATTCGCATTTCCGTATATTATAAAATAATCATTTTTTGATTTTGAATGCAACCATCCCTGTGACGCAAGTTTAACACCTTCAAATTTACTGTAAGATTGTCCTGCGTAATGGTTAAATTCTGGACGCTTACATGATATGATAGGTAGCTTCTTCTTTGCTTGTTGTACACTATAATATCTACAATATGAATATTTTACAATTTGTCTTAGTTTTGACATTGTATAAGATTATCTCACATTAGTTTTGTTTTAAAATTTTCACATTTTATCAGTCGTGAGGTTCAGGTCGGACGTCAGCGGTTCGAAGAAATGTCAATTGTGAATTGTCAATTGTCATGTGTCAACACATATTGTTTTTAATTTCGGCTCTGATTTTTAAGCGTAGATGGTTGGGATTTTAGATATAGTGTTTTTAATCGTTTAAAAAAATAAATATCATGATAAAATGAAATAAGTTAAAATTATTTTCTTTAATGTCGAGTCCTGCTTCACAATAAAGTCAATATATACTAATCTGGCGCGGATAAAATTTAACAATTCAATCTTAACAAAGTTGACCCTGTTAATCTATACTTCTACACTAATATTATAAAGAGGTTTTGTGAGTTTGTAAGTATGTGAGGTTATAGAGGGTAATCTCTGGATCTACAGAACCGATTTAGATGAATTTTGGTAAGAAGATAGTTTGAGGCCCTGGAAAAGACATAGCTTACTTAAACAGGTAATCGAATCAACTAAAAATACAGTAAAATGCACCTTTATTATTTTATCTATACTAATATTACAAAGAGATAAAGTTTGTGAGTTTGTGACGTTGTATGGGGTAATCTCTGAATCTACTGAACCGATTTAGATGTGGTAAGAAGATAGTTTGAGACCTTGAGAAGGACATAGGACACTTTTTATCCCGGAAATCAGCCCTTAAGAGGGTGAAAATGGGGATGAAAGTTTGTATTGGGAAGCAAGCTAGGGACGAACCCGAGCGAAGCGAGGGTGAGTCGCTAGTACATAATACAGTAGTGTAGTGGACTTAGGGTAACTGTTATTCATTACTAGCGACGCACACTAGCTTCGCGCGGGTTCGTCCCTAGGTACGTTTTGAAGCGTCGAAACGTCTATCTATTCCTTACTAAGGTCTAAGCAGTAGCTTAGACCCTAAGCAGTAGCTTAGACCTTAGTATGGAATAGATAGACTACTATATAATATACATAGGTATGATGAATTGTATTATTGTTATTTTTTATATTATATTGATTCCCCATACAAAGTCATACAAAGTTCTAGTCTCTCCTGTGACCATGATTGCTGTAAAGCATTAGAAACATCGGGAACCAATAATCAAAATAAATTCGCGAAAAATCCGAAAAGATAGTTTTATTTAAAATGTCAAAATTTTTAATTTTATTTTTATGTCACTCTTTTTCAATTTATTCGCAGACGCTAATTCTAATAGACAACTCTCATTAAGACTATTCTTATGAGCCCAAACACACTACATCTGCTATTATAAGTTTCTGAGGAATGTAGCATCCCGCAAATTATTTGGTGCTATAGTATCAGTTCAAGGTCATAGAATGTCTTGGAAATACCACCGAAGTAACAGTAGGTACACCAAATTTCAAAACAATCGGATTTATAATAGTTAGTTCTTTTAACCCTTTTCTCAAGTAGGAAATGAGCTAATAATCATCAAACACCTGCAGAGATCTTTATAAATTATAGCTAAAAAGCATCTCAATCACGTCAGCTGTTAAACAAAAAAACCGCATCAAAATCGGTCAATTCGTTTAGGAGCTACGATGCCATAGACAGACACAGATACACAGACAGACACGTCAAACTTATTATTACACCCCTCTTTTTGCGTCGAGTATTAAAAATACATAGTTGAATAAGTCTGTATTATTTAATTATATTATAAATGTGAAAGTTTGTGAGTATGGATGTTTGTTTCTCTCTCACTCTTTCACGCTACGTTCACGCCAGAACGGCTGAACTTAACTCACAGAAATCTTAATAATAATTATTAAGATTTCTGTGGGATGAAATTTGGCACAGAGATAGATTAAAGTCTGGAATAGCACTTAGGCTATTTATCCCGGAGAAATGTACGGTTCCCGTGAGATAGGTTGTTTTTTTTGTTTTCCTAGAGGCGAACCCGAGTGAAGCGAGGGTGAGCCGCTAGTATAAAATACAATCAAAGCAGTATAATGCATAATAGCTTATTTATGAGATTAGCTTGTATTCAAAAAGTTACTCGTAATCATATGTCTTTCTTATGAATATTTTTTATACCAAAGTTTATTAAGTAGATTTTACATATAACATAGGTAGGTATGATTTAGCCCTATAAGCACGAACTCGTGATTTGTGGATAACTATCAACGCTACAGCTTCAAGCTTGTTTATATCGTAATATAAGCCTCACTAAAACGTAACATGTAAAATATGCAAATCTCGCAACGCAAAAAGTTGTGAGAACTAATGTAAAACCAAGTCGGTTAATTTATTCAGTACCTATCTATGGAAGCATCTAACAACTTTGTCATAAATTGTTACCTATATATATATATATATATATATATATATATATATATATATATATAAATTTAAATGCATACATATTATAAATATAAACACCCATAACTGAAGTATAAACATTCGTGCTCATCACACAAATGAATGTCTCCGGCGGGACTCGAACCCGAGACCGCTGGCTCAACAAGTAGGGTCACTACAAACTGAGCCAAACACTAGCTACTACTGAATATTTTTATTAGCCTACTGTAATATCCCAATCGCAACGCTTGTTTTCGCCACCTAGCTTTGCATTTGGGATTATAAGAACTAAACTTCTAGCTTTATCCACAGCAAAGCTACAAGGGGGTCGAACATGTCATGAATGGCTTCGAGAAAATTATGGTACGGCCTTTATTTTATCGACTTGGTAGAAGCACTGCCTTGACTGGTATGAGTAATAAAAAAAAATTTGAAGAAAAAAAAAGATGAATAATATAATTAACATTTTAGCTGTAGATACTTTAATATTGTATAAGTGGGGGAAATATATAAGCGATAGCACCACATACTCAAAGAACAGTGCCTAGTGCTGGTAATTCTGGTGAAGTCAGGTAAGACAGGAGTTCGTTAACGTTTTTTGTTACGTTTCAAAATAGTGTTTTTATAAAATTATGTTACTATTAGTCTTAAGAGGTTTATTTTAACTATTATTAAAAGGTGTATTTGATGACATAATATCGCAAATATTATAAACGCGAACCAAAAAAAAAGAATATTTGCCAGCCTGATTGTCTTACGGTTAAATAGATATATGTAGTATTATGAAAATTTATTAAAATTTATTTATTTCATTTTACTATGTAGTGTTGAAAAACATTGGTGCAATTATTCTTGGTATCTATATATATAAAAGAAAGTCGTGTTAGTTACTTCGCTTATAACTCAAGAACGGCTGAACCGATTTAGCTGAAAATTGGCAGGGAGGTAGTTTAGAGCCAGGAGAAGGACATAGGATACTTTTTATCCCGTTCGACCGCGTTCCAATTTTTATGATATTTTAATTTTTGGATTTCTCTTAGTTCGGAATAGGTAAGTATTAAAACATATAATTAAAATGTGAGAAAGAAAGATTTTTTCTTTTTATATCTATTTAAAACGTACCTAGCGACGAACCCGAGCGAAGCGAGGGTGAGCCGCTAGTTTTACATATAAATAATATAAGCTCCTTCATGTTTTGGGAAAAGTAATGATTCTCACAACATAGGCGTTAAAATTCGTAGAAAAAGTTTACACTAATGCATGGATATTGTTCTATAATTAATATATTTATATTTTAATGTTCTAATGTCGAGCACACCGTATCTCCAAAACAATATTAGACATAGATCCACCGAATCGACATAAGTGAACTTAATTTATTTACATTATATTTGGAATAAATCGTGTCATATTCGTTTTGCCATGATATAAAGTATCCTAATCAGTTAAACAAATGATATTCTAATTCATAGGTCACTCTAAATTGTTTTTGTTTTAATTACTTATCGCACAATATTTACTTAATATCTGACTGAATTCTAGGATTCCTTTAAAACTTTCTAAATAATAAAGCATTCGTAATACTTGCAAAGTATTACGAATGCTTTATTTTCAACCGACTTCAAAAAGGAGGAGGTTCTCAATTCGACTGTATTTTTTTTTGTTACCTCAGAACTTCGTCATTTATTAACCGATTTGGATAATTTTTGTTTTGTTTGAAAGGGTATACTTCCAGATTGGTCCCATTTAAATTTCAAAAGAAAATTCTACTCCTAAGGGTGGAAAAATAGCTAATGATGGATTTAACCTACTTCTAATTGTCATATTGACTTGAAACTTTGCAAGTGTTTCTATTTCCGTTGATAGGACAGTGGTTCGGTATTGTTTGGCTAAGTAATTAAAGCCTACCTATTAAATACATACCTAATCAAATATTTTTAATATAATTTTTAATAATTTCGAAATCGGTGCCAGCCCATACAAAGCTAAGCACACCGACTTCGAAAATATTTGATTAGGTATGTATAGTAAATGAAAACTACCAATCAGTTATTTTTTACTTTTTAGTGTTTTTGTTTGAAGTCGGTTTTCATTTTTTTGTTAAAAAGTTTTTTTCCAGCTTCACAACAATTATAATCGTGACTAAACTAGATCTCTCCCATTCATATAGACTATGAAAAGCTAGATTTTGGAAATAAAATCCGAAATGCATTAAATTCTATTGCAAATATTCACAAAATGAGTGAAAGGCCCAAAGTGTAAGAAATATTAAAAGACAATCAAAATAATTAAAATATTAAAGTAAATCTAACTGATTCCCCCATAAATGATGATGCTAACTAAAGTTTAAGAATTAATTATTTGCATAAAACCACTGTAAAAATGCAAGTCTCGTTCGTTTCTTATTATCAGGCATCAAAGGACGTCGGGGTCATTAGTTTATAATAACTTTTCTTCTGATTTCAATTAAACTTATTTAATTTTGGACAGTAATTTTTATCGGATTAAAAAATGGCCTAAAGCACTCGATGGCAATGTAATGCCATATTAGTGAAAGAATTTTCTGAATCGAATCAGTAGTTTTCGAAATAACCTCTAAAAGGACGATGTTCTTTAAATTAATTCACGCATATTATTATATGTACATTATTGTACCGGT